CTAGTGGGCACGGACTATGTGACACAAACTGCCATAATGCAACATTTAATGGCAGGTGGCTCTACAGAAACATTAAAACTGAATGGTCAAAGTCACAGGTTATTAGTTTAACTCATCCCATCATTCAGATATTAAAAACCAGCATGATTGTCCATCCCTATGGGCATGTGTATAGACCAAGGTGCAGATTACAAACCTTCTGCTAGAAGTGCAGCTTTTTCAGAGGTATGTGCTCTCAGAGTGCTTTACAGTAAATAAAGTAATAAACTATAATCTATAAAAAATGTGACTGAAAGATAAAATCAGATAAAAATCAAGTTTAAGAAAACCTGAGCCTTCATTTGCAGTAAATACAACGTAACACACAACTATTACAAATGTAGGCTGTGACATATTAACTTTTTTAGGGCATGTTAAGTACTCAACAACAAGACCTGAAGGCTATTAAGTTCACTGAACTACCCTTCTATGTGCTATTCAGAGAATGACCTTTCATGGGAAATATGTCGCCAACTATGATTATAGTAAATTTAGGGAAAAAAATATGATTATGTGTGAAACCGCCTTACTTTATTATTACATCAAACAGGGAACTCACCACTACATGAACTAAAAGGCCTACTTGAGAAGTCTGGGACTAACCCAACAGCAGGCTGCAGGCTTGGAGCCAGATTGCCATGGCATCTCTCCTGTTAACCTCCCCACCGCCCCCACCTCACCGCCTCCTTGCGCTCACTGCCCACCACCACTGTTGCCCCCTTTCCTGCCTCCTAAGCTGAATGACAGGTGGCAGAAACCCGATCAGCACGGGCCTTTATCAAGGAAGCACTCCCATCTGAAACGGGCACACTGCCCACTCGCCCACCCGAGGGCCACTGCGCAGGGGCTTTCTGAGGCTGGACTGTGTGTGTGTGTGTGTGTGTGTGTGTGTGTCATAAATGAGGCAAGGATGGGGGCAGCTGGTACAATAGACACAAGGCATGGTGAAGGAGAAGTGGGGTGCCGAGGTGTAATGGACTTTTTTGCTGAAAGAAGGCGAAGCATCAGAGCTGGCCGGGTGTCCAGGGCTCCAAACGGGGAAACGGGAGGCTTGGCTCCCACAAATAGTCAGTGTGAGGAGTTCCCAGAGGGGTCGTCCACAATTTTAGCAGGGCAAGGGCTGCTGTCAAACAATGACCTCCAAGGACTCGGCTTGAACTGAGATTGGTCCCACCCTTCAGCACTTCCTTTTAGTGCTGCCATGCAGCTAATGCATGATTAATTATTAGGATCATAGTATTCTGGAAAAGGGCGATTGTCAGTTGAAGTCTGTCACTTGATTTGCCTTAAAGCTTCGGTACTGTGCTACAATGTACTGTACATACCTTAACTTTGAAAATAAACCATTAACTTGAAAGTATATGTTTATAAAGGAAAACCCTGAATTTCCTGAGTTTCTGAGTTACATAACCTACTGTAAATGTCCATAAACTCCTCCCTAAAACTGGACAATGAGAGATAACATACTGCTCCAGCACCCTGCTTTCGACACAAAGACATTTTTCTGTACTCAACAACGAACTTCCTGCCCTTATACACCGAATCAGATTTGAAACTATGGCTATCACAGTGCAGCAGAGCATCTTGGCGCGAAATTGGAAATCACGTTAACACAGCTTGTCCTTGTTCAACCCTGTCCCTTTTTCATGAAAAAGTTTATTTGGTCTACAAATAGGCTCTACAAGCAGTCACTCTATGGGCTGGAGTGTTTGTAAGTGTGTGTGTGTGTGGGGGGGGGGGTTCTCCAACCAGGAGGAGATTTAATTAGTGAAATCTCATTAAGTCTAACAAAATTAAGCGTAAAACAATCCTTGGTAGGGAATCGTGCTGGAGGTTTTGGGTCGGTGAAAGCGGGGG